GCTGCACGAGTGATACTATTTTGTTATTATAGGTTCTCTGTAATAAAAAGCTAATTAAACTACAGGATCACAGAATGCACTCCAATAGATTGCTGTCCAGCCACAGCATTGAGCAAAGAACATGACAGCTGAAACCGTGATGTAATACACATCACTTCTGAGTTCTTACTAGGTAGGAAATTGACATTTGCTGGTCTCCCTCCTCATTACCTGATGGCACTCACCATTCCTATCCCAGGTCTGCAAATGGGACAGTGGAGCCCAAGAAACATGATGGAGGAACTGCACCACCAGGCGTGTGTAGAAGCGTTTGGGGGACTGTACATCAGTTTTAGTCCAGAAGGCACCAGAAGGAACTATGACCAGTTCACCCATTGAACTAAACTCCAGATGCTCGGAAGTAATTTGTTCAGTGGCGGTATTACTACCACAATCAAATGGGACTCGTTGGGGCTCATTGGTTGCTAGGATGCTGGAGGTCATTGGCATCTTAGCAACCAATGAAACATCCTTGTCCCCATCCAGCTGCTTGCTTAGGGTTAGGATTCATTGGCCAAGAGCTGAGTGTAAAAAAAGGGACTAAATATGGCCATGGCTCGTGGCCAAATAAAACATTATGCATAATATTGGGAGCGGCAAAACTGAACTTAGCTTAAAAAGAAGAAAAGATGCAAGAGCTTTCAGCCAATCACCTGCCATTTTTGAGCCTATTAGGTTGTTTTAAGATACCCCTGTGGTTGTGTGATCCTAAAAACTCAAAAATGTAGTGATCAATAAGTTTCATATCAGTACAACTGCATGCTAACAAAATACTTAATCTATCCCGAAGCACCAGGAGAAATTAAAAAATCAAATCTAGTTTTATGAGCCACGGGCTGCAAGCAAACACACGGCGATACCAGCCCAACAGGGTGCTTAATTATTATGTTCATTAGCTTGTCATTAGCTTATCATTTACATACCTTATGTGTGTGTGAATGTTCCTCTGAAGAATAGAAAATGATAACACTCTGCGCAACAAAAAAATTAGTGTCCAATCCGCAAACGACAGCAAAATCACTGTTAGCTCCATAATTGCTTAACATTTTCATTGTGCCACGTGTGGTACTTCTATGGGTCAATCATGATTTCTAAATTTTGTTAGCTGAACTTGGAACCTGATTTAGATTGGTCAAAGATGGACTAAAGGTGGATATATATCTTCTGTGCCTGATCACTAAGTCTTATTGTACAATGATAGTGCCACACTCCAGTTACAAATGAACTGTGGGCAATAAACTGTCATAACTGCACTTGATTGCATGTCCTAACCACTCCCGGATGCTCCAGAGGTCCCACGAGACATAACCAGTACTTAGGGATCTGATGTGAAAAACAGAAGCACAGTTTACATTCTTGGCACAACTTGGTGCTAGGATGAATTCCCAAGCAAAAGTGTAAGATTTACATAATCCAGCCTAGCCAATCAAGATGGCCATAGACTCTGAACCTAGAAGAAGACAGAAGATGATGTTGGGCGCAATGATTTCTCATTGCCAAAGGAGGAGAAGGTATTGGGAGGTCAGTTTACGTAAGATTCCAAAACCCACCCACTCTTATCAGGGTTGGACTGTCATGTCTCCTTATGCTTACTATACTTGAGGCTAATAGTTCCCCCTAATCCCATGCCTCACTTACATAAGCCAAAACTCCCTTTATTATACAACTAGGGACTCCATTGACTGAAGTTAACCTAGGTATCTGCTTGCCTGATTCCTCAATAGAGTAGATTTGCTGAAGTTCCATCACTACTACATTTATTTATATGGATTTAGCTAGTAGGGCAGACAGATGCCAGAGATAAATAGTATAAAAAAAATATGAACTGCTTACTGAGCCAACTTTGTTTCCTTTAGAGTAAAAGCCAAACTCCTTTGTTCTACTGTTTGACTGTACTGTCAAGTACATTAAACCAATAGGCCATGGCTTCCTTTATCCTGGGCTTCCAGCTGGCTGCAGATCCCTAAATCTCATACAGTGCCTTGCGGCTGCCATAGCATCCCCAATCTCCCATAATGGCTCCCAGGCCCCCTGAGGGCCCCCAACCTGCCACAGTACTGGTCAGCTTCTCACTCCCCAATCTGCTTCTCACCCCCCAATCTGCTTCAGAGCCTCCAGCCCACAAGGTCCAAAAATGTCCCTCAGCCCCCTTTTAGAAACCTCATCCTGTTTTGCAACCAAATACATTTATTGCTTGAGTATAAACTTGTTATTTTACTGTTGGAAGCTGCATGGAAGATTGTTGAAGAATTCACCAGGTCCTGGTGCCAAAATGGTAGAGAAACACTGCATTAGACCATGACAATGTTTTTATCTGTATGATATAGAGTAAAGAAAATCAGCCATTGGCTTGTATGATTTACAACACCCCTTTCCATGAATGCTCTTCAAACTACTTTATCAATTCAGAGGAACAAATGTCAACAATATTCCTGCATCTCTACTTCAGCACACTTATCTGGTTTTCCACAATATTCTGATACTGGATATTTTATCTTCACTGACTTTCGGAAACTAACAAGCTATAGCTCATTGCATCATACCGAACCTTATCGCCAAACGACCATGGGTTTCTTGTGATAACATTGTTCATCTTATATCCCATAGCAGATACATTCACAGCACAGGAAGAGGACCTGTCTCAGCAATGTGTCCATACAAGATAAGTCACCTCTAATTGAAGACATATGTAAGCATTGGTATATCACTTTATCACAAATAGGGAATATTGTATTTCGACCAACTGGCAAGGGAAACAGCTCAAATACATTAATGTTAAATTCACTGCTTTTTGCTTCAACAAAACAAATAAATTTAGGAGAGAAAGCCTGCCGACAGGGTTATTTCCTGAGACAGCAAAATTGTATTTTCTGCCCGAGCTGAACTGTCTGATTCGCTTACAGTGGTCCTCACGATGGAACTAGAATTAATATGTCCTGTCACAAATAAATCAGGTATAGAGCATACCTCTATGTACAATATACCATGACACGTGTTCCACGCGAATCTCTTTTTATCCAATTTTTTTTTACTATGTACTTCTCTGGGTATGAATTATAACATACCCATATAACAATTATAACAAAAGTCAGAAATGAAATCCACTAATACGTTATTGCTGTGTTTTTCAGCTTCGGTAAGGAAGCATGGTTGTTTCATTTTCTTCACATATATTTTTTTACCAACAATTATTCATACAAGTAAAAATTTGTTACCCATATTTAGCAGAGATGCTTAGAGAGCATGTGATATTGTGTTCCGCATTTACCACATCAAATAATGTATTTATCACATTAAAAAAAATGAATGCTATTTAATCACTTGCCCTCCAGAGGAATAAACTTTAGCTGACAATTGTGCAATCATGCAACACTGCACCCAAATTAAATTTATGTCCTTTTTTTCCCCCACGAAAGAGCCTTCTTTTGGTGGTATTTGATTGCCTCTGCATGTTTTATTGTTTGCGCTATAAACAAAAAAAGACTGACAATTAATTACTAAAAAACATGATTTTTGACGTTTTGCTATAAAACATACCCAGTATAAAAAATTTTAAAAATTAAATTTTGTCATAAATTTAGACCAAAATGTATTCTGCTCCATGTCTTTGTTAAAAAAAATCCCAATACATGTAAATTAATTGGTTTACGTGAAAGTTATAGCGTCTACAAATGGTGGTATATACTGTATACTGGAATTTTTTTTTTTTTATACTAGTAATGGCGGCAATCAGCGACTTATAGCAGGACTGCGGCAGGCATTCTGACACTGGAGGGAACTGACTAACTGCCACTGACATCCCCAATGACACTGATACAGTGATCAGTGCTAATAAAAAGCACTGACATTGCACTAATGACACTGGGCAGGAAGGGGATAGCATCTGGGGCGATCAAAGGGTTGGTCGGTGCTGACAGGGGAGAGATCTGTGTTGTTTACACACAGACCTCTTCCTTTTCACTGTTCCTCAGCGATCGCTGGGTGCTGTCAGGGAATTTCCGGCCGGTACCCAGTGATTGACAGCTGTAGCCACCAATGGCGGTGCGGGTAGGGCAGTGCCTGCCCGGAAATGCAAAATCATGTATATATACATACTTTTGCGCAGCCCTGCCACCCTGTAGCAGTAGTTCTGCTATAGGGCGGCGGGGAACTTGTTAAAGCTAAACTTCAGGTTCAATCCTTATTGCAAACTTAAAGTGATTTTAAAACCTATTCAATTTAAAATAGAAATAAAAGGCAAAACATTTGTGTATACTGTGGATATTAAAAACATTATAAATATTGTTTCCCCCTTTTATATAATTGATCACCTACCTTTCATTTTAAGCTGCATAAGAGCTGGGAGAGGAGAAACAAAAGCACACGTATTTTTTTTTTTAATAAATACAAGGTGTTCTCTGATTCAGCTTGTCCAATTAGAGAATGCCTTGTATTCATTGAAAAAAGGCATTCTATGTCCTGTATAGCAATACAACCTTTTGTGGTCAATGTGAGAAGTAGAAGCTGCTTGCACAGAACCCCAATACAATCCAGGACATAGCTACTATTGCTGTAATAGTGCCAACTACCATGGAGGGGTTGAGAAAAACTGCAACATTGCAAGAGGTACTTCAGCAGTTACAGCAACAGTTTTTTAAAGAAAGATTTGAACCATAAGGATGAGTTATTCTTTAGATATTAAATAAGCAGACATCTTTATTTTAATCACCTTTTTTTTTTTGAAAAGCATACATTTAATGGAACAGTTTGGTTAAAAATGTTTTTGCTAAAAACTACAGATGAATATGTAAATACGTAAATACTTATCTTTCTGAAGCCAATAATAATGAGGGTGCTAAAGTTTTAGGTGGGTCAATCTTTTTCAGATGATGTTCTGTTCATAAAATCCATTGAAAAGTAAAAGCTTTCATCTTGTTGCCTTGTCTTTCCCCTGCAAAAGCAGCTTATGTAAAGAAAGTTCCCAGTGTTCACTGTCTGTGTCATAATCAGGGGCGGACTGACTATTTGGAAACTCGGGCACTGCCCAAGGGCCTGGGGTCAGTAGGGGGCCCCATGAGATGCCCCTGGTACCTTTTTTATAGGTTTTTTTGAGTTTGGGCAAGAACACAGGGGCCCCATGATCCCCTATTGTCTGGGGCCCCATGAGTTGTCAGTCCACCCCTGGTCATAATACAGCATGGAGTGGGTTTTAGGGGTTCAGATGTGGGGTAAGGGGGAAGTAAAAACAAGCAGTGTTGCCATGGTTTTATTGCCACCCACCTAATCAAGGACATACGTCCACTCAGGGGTCTACATATGCTGTGGCTGTGATGCTTTGCTTTGCAACCTTGGCAAAAATTAAACCCCAGTCACGTATGGCAGGCAGACCTGTTTATTATAAATGCACCTGGTTGTGGCACGGTGGGACAGTATTTGCTAAACAGGTGGTGAGCCTTTAAATCACCCTCATCCTATCTCATAGGTTAAGCAAAGGCTGTCACAGGTCAGAACAAACTCTTTCTATGTTATGTGGTTAAAAGGTCTGTGAGCTTTACTTTTACCAAAATTACTGAGAGGTAGGGTTCTTTGAAATCTCCTTTCCTAAGTTTGGATTTTTCATTCTTGGAGATTGGTGGGAGAAGCTGCAGAGGTGTGTAGCACTACCCCCTTAGGAGTTGCTGATGAACTGGGTCCCCCTATAGTTCTGCACCACCAGGCATCACATATCCTCACACAGGCTTGCATCCAGAGTCAGAAATCTGTCCTTGAGCTTTGGTTTTGTTGTTTACTGAGGGGAATTCAAACTGGGATAGGGTTAGGGGTGTACAGGATGCCCAAGGGTACCGATAACTGAGGACAACTTCCTAGAACTATTTACAAGCCTTCTCTGCAGCACAGACTTTGTTGGAGAGCTAGCCAGCATCTCCTTAGTGTACCACCCCAGACCCTAGATGAACTTCTCCTCTTCACCTAGCAATCTGGAGGTATCCCTGAGCAGGGAATCCAGCTCCTGTCCCTTTAAATAGGCAAACAGTCACTAGTAGTGACTAATTTCCCACCACAGTGCTCCTTCCCCTATCTGCCCAGGAGGTGTAAGTGTAAAGTGTACTCACTCAGATCCTCTCCTGCATCGCTTGTGGTTTGGCTGCTGCTACCAGGTCTATCAGCTGGGCTTTTCCTTCCTTGCCATAAAGGTGGTCCTCTGTCAGGGGGCCAGTGAGTTCCAAGTTCTCTTACTTTCCAGCTCCAGACAGTTGGGCCCCATACCACTGGGCCTCCTTTCATCATCTTTCCTCACAGCCTCACAGCTTCACATCTTCCCCTCTCCTTCTTCCACTCGACTCCCCTCATTGGACAGGCTCACTCATATTTAGGGCTATTCTGACCCCTTGCCAAGCCTCCTGTTAGGGATTGGTCAGAGTCCCTTGAATATGCAGATCAGCCACTCCTTAAATCCACCCACTGCTTCCAGAGGTTTTCTCCAAAGTTCTAGACAGAGGGAAGTCTCAGAGGGCTGAGTCTACAGAGCCTTCCAACTCCTGACTAAAATTTGACCCTTCTGACTATTACACCTAGGCTGCTATTCAGCCCCTGTCTAACTGTTGGGATCTACCTCCCCCTAGCTGACTAGGAGGGCGCTACAGGTGGAACCCTACAGTAGTGTCAAATGTGTTGTAGAGAGCTCAATGTAGAGTAGATGTTGGAGCCACCTGGTCAGTAGATTACCCAAAGAGAGTCAGAAACTCTTTGGCTGTTAATCATGGGCATTCATTGTTTAGCCTCTGTTCAGAATGATGTTTAAATGGAAAGCCTGGCAGGTGGTGATGATAGGTAGACATGATTTTGCAGGTAGGAAGTCCAAAACTTGTATGCAACTTTTGGGTTTATTCTCGTTAATGGTGTAACTATAGTCATAGCAGTTTATTTTGACCGCAATGGGGTCTGGAGAGATTGCGGTTGATCCCAAACTATTAAGTCTTCTGTCTAGAAGCGCTGATGTCAGAAACACAGGAAGAGTCATGGAGACTATTTCTAGTAAACACTTTCTTATGCTTTATCTGTACAGTAAGGAGTGGTATTGACAATGTAGGTTTATTGCCCTCAGAACATCTGCTTCAGTCTGGCCAGTATGAAATTAACCCTGTACACCTAATATAGTCTTCCAAATAGTGTATAATATGTCAAAATATCTCTAAAACTAGATTAATACAACTGAGTTCCTTATAAAAAAGTTTGTATTAGTGTTATTGAGTAAATGTATGCAGGAGCGTTAAATTATGTTGAATGATGCTGAAAAATACTGATTGACTAGTGTGAGTTACTGAACTTTTTTTCTAAGTGCTCCTATCAGCCTTTATTGAATTTTTTTTTTTTTTTTGCTTTGGTATTGTGGTACTTTAAAGCCGATTAAACCTACAGCAAGTGATATAAGCAGTTTAATCATGGAGGTTTATATGTTAATCACAGAAGGTTCTGCAAAGAATTTTATGAATATCGAATACACCTGAAAACTGTAATTTTCAGAGAAGAAAACATTTATGTGCTAGGATATAAAACAGAAAAATGAAGCCCCGGTGGTTTCATCCAATGTATTATATCTACCATAAAAATGACTAGTACAAAATGGCTTCTCAATTCCCCTTGCCAGATGGTTGGAATCAATTATCAGTTCAAGCTTATGTACAATAGTTTAACAGCATTTTCCATCAAATTGATTATCCTGTCCTATTCCCTTGTGGTCTGCCCAACAAATTAATTCTATGTCTCTTCTCGTCCTGTAATTCAGCAAATGTCTTGTTTTTACTAATACACAGACATGTGGCTGAAGCAATACATTGCAAAAGCAATCTACATTGTTTGCTGTTTCCTGGTAATATCTACAGTACCCCTGCTCTATTGTTTTTTCCTTCATTTCGGTTTCTGATGAAGGTTCTCTAAGGGTCTCCCTGGACACCAAGTAAAATCAGTTTTGAAATGGTAATGCTTTCAAAGAAATATTGCACTGCTAAAGTCATAAAGGCCATTCAACTAATACTTGGCTACCAGGCTTGTTATCCAGGCTATGTAATGAATTGCAACTGTGCCATCTTTCACATGTGCTTCCTCTGGCTTCTTGTCGGTTTAGTTTGTGCAAAAAAAATGAAGAAATGCAGAGCAACAATACTCCTGATGAAGTCACGTGACGTGACATAACGAGTAGGGTACGCCGATTACGTCAGGCTACTAATCGGAAGTGCACATGCTGCCATTTTGGAAAAGAGATTTCTGCACACTTCTTACAGCAAGTACTGTATAGTGAGTTTTTAACCCTGTAGTGTCCCAGGAGGACACATTTTAATGTCAGTGGTACTAAATTGTTTTAATAAAGGCTGTTTTTTTAGTAGAAATAATATACTATATTGAACATTTTTTTCACATGGATATGGAGCGATCTGGAGCTGCTTAAAAGTGCTGGCTAATGGTGGTGAAGATCTGTGTACCATTATACCCTCCCGGGTTAAAGGAAAAAGCGCAGGTTGACCTGACAATACGGTCAAACTTGGAGGTGAGCGCAATAGAGTGCTGGAGGTGAAAGAGCACTAAGGGGTGACACAGGAGCACCGTACACGTTTATGCAGTAGTCTGTTTACACTGGTCCAACTATAGTACAGTGGATTTAAAGGGACAGTTCACCATTCTTTGAGATTATATTCAGATGACACTTGTTGCTGGTGTATTTGGATCATGATATAAAGGAAGCGTACCACACACATCCACGTGATGATATTTAAGATTTAAAGGGACAGATCACCATTAAGGACTATTTATCTGGTATTTGTGTGCACTATTTATTTATAGCACTGGTCATGTGCAGTTTTTAAGGGTGCTTATATGTATGCATTGGAAGACATCTGGTATAGCATACATTAATTCTCACAAGCACAGTTTTCAGTTTTTCACCTTTATATATGCACATATTAGATTGTTAGCACATATGTATATATATATATATATATATATTGTTGCGCTGCATTTCTTCATTTTATTTTCATTGCTACATGTGGGAAAACATTATATGCTAACCACACAATTTCTTTAGGAGGTTCATTGTGCTGAAGGTTTTCTATACACATAAGTTGTATGTGCAACTTTGCTCTCCTTCCTGAGAGACAGTCAAGAGCCTACTGTGAGCAAGGCTGTGAATACCTGATTTGCACATTCACATGACTCAGCAGCTAGTGCTCCCAGAATACACGATCATGGCAACAAGGTCATGTTAAACCCTTCCGAACTTCCCACTGTGACCTTTTAACTAGGTCTTATGTCTTGGTGAAGGAAGGACCAAGCCATTGTCTGTCACAGTCGTCACATGAGCAGGAGCCCATCCCACTGGCTCTGGATAATAACCGGAAGCTCTTAGCAACACCTTGATCATTGTACTAGGAATGCACAGTAAGCATGATCTCAGCAGGGAAACCTCATCTACTATGGATGCATATGTGTAGCATATGGGAATTAAGACCCAACCTAATGTGTTACATGGCTGGCTAGAGGAGTAAGGGACAAGTCATTTCATTTTTTATATATACATTTAACAAAGTTCTTTACCTTGATCATGGCATGATATTGTGTAAATATGTATATATTTTTGTGTATAGCTTATAATATCATGTGTAATGGTATTTGAAATGAAAAGCATAATTTTTACTCGTTACATGCTTCTAGTGACAATGCTTCCTCATCTTTAGTGCTACATTATGGTTGTGCTTTACTGATTTTTTTCACATTGCAAGTCTGTGAGTCAGTCAACTCATTAAAAACAATGGACTACCCATGTGGCTGATTGTGTGAATACAGGGAAAATCAACACAGGGTTAGCACTAATATAGTTCTAGGGCACTAAAGTGTGTAGGGCTCTGGAGTATTCTAACTAAGCAGAGAAAATTGAGTATTGAGTTTTCTCTGGGTTTTCTAATCCCATATCAGGGTCTGAAGTCCAGAAGAATTTAAAGTGTCTTGGGTGGGACGAAGCCTCCAATCCAGGTCCTACTGAAGACCTGCATGTTGTGAGAATGTTCAGGTCTCAAACTCATTATAAGTGAGGCCTGGCCATAGCCCAGGACTCCAGTCAGGAGACAGGTGTGTGCTCTATGTTGGAGACAGGCATACTCCCATAAGTAGAGGTGCTCTACTCAAGAGACAGC